CCAACCTATTAGGATCTCATTCTAGGAGTACCCATACCCCTGTATATTACGGTCCCTTAAGAAATCGTCCAAAAGTTTCTTGAACAATTCCACATTATTTGCTGAAATCACCGCCTGTGGCAGTGAGTTCCAGACCCTAACTGATCTTACTGTGAAGAACCCCCTTCGCACCTTGTGCTGGAATTTTTTTTCCACCAATTTTAGGTTATGGCCTCTAGTTTTTGTAACGGAGTTAATTTTAAACAGTTTATCGCTAATGTTGCTACCACCATTAAACATTTTGTACATGGAAATCATATCCCCCCTTAATCTCCTCACCTCTAATGTGAACATGTTTAAATTTAGTAGCCTCGTCTCGTAGCTCTGGTCCAGTCTTTTTATCAGTAATAGCTAATACGGAAACATGCCTTTTTAACATTTAATACTCTGCTTTATCCCTTAGTTGTATATTTCTCTACACATTACACCCCAATATTTAACCTGCAAATTGTTTTATTCATAAATACTGTGCAGCTTTACCCACAAACAAAATAGGATAGTGTTTTCAAGATTTGTCAATGGACAATTGTTCCATAAAATAAGATTTTTTTGACGTACAGATGTTCCTCACTTACCGATTTACCTGTTTTGCGACCACTCGCACTTACGACGGACCGCCGATCGACCTCCGACCTTGCGCGTCAGTGCGCCGTGTAGCCGGAAGTGGTGTCCTCCGATCTTCCCTGCGGGTCCCGCTAAGTATTTTTATTGCCCGATGTACAGTACACTGTTGGGTACTGTACACTGTTCGGTAATGCAGTACAGTACTGTAAAAAGAGTTCCTCACTTAACGACCAATCCATTTAACGACCAGGTAGTAGGAACGGAACTCGGTCGTTAAGTGAGGAATACCTGTACAATAAAATCTTTAACTGCATTACTCTACCCCTGCCACTAACGTATGGCATACAGCGGAACTAAACTGTTCCCAGCCTGCCACATCAGGAAGCCTTATGTCAGTGGCATTTACCGTTCTGCTATAAGCTCATGGTCGCTTTTAACGGTTCCCCTAACGGTCCCCTTTAAATTAATAGCTGTCTTCAGCGGCTGACTAAAAAAATTTACCGATCCTCTGTGTGCTGCACAAACTTACCGATCCTCTGTGTGCAGCACAAACACTGGAGTTAGGGATGCACAGATACTTTTCAAGTACCAGTGCAGATACTTGGCATTTTCATGAGAACTACCAGGGTTGCAGTGGTTGCAGCTGGGACCTGGCTCTGGCACTCCACCACTGTCCTGAAATCATTAGTCTGTATTGTTTTAGAAAAACTGTCACATGACAAACAAAAATGTATCAGTACTCGTACTTGTAAGTACTCGCAAAACTGGTATCTGTGCATCCCTTTATTTATAAAAACAAAATCTTACATTAAAACAGAGATGTACAAATCCCAGGAGCTCCGTGTGCTCCTTACAAATGACAGCTGCCTCCTAATTTTTGAATTTTTCTCTAGTCTTGGAGCTCAAAAGTATCGGTACATGTACTCGTACCGAGTACTGTACTAAGCATCTGTGCAACCCTAACTGGAGTGATCATCACTCCAATGTTTGTAAATAACTGGGGACACAGAGTAATATGTGTCCCCAGTTATGAATGAACAGGAAGTGCTTTACATAACTTCCTGTTCATTCATGACTTTCTCAATGGGGAGAAGCACTCGCTACATTACTCACAACAGTTTCTGAATGAATGGGAAGCCTCTATACTGAGTGCTTTCCATTCATTTAGAACAGAGGCTGCTGAAAATGAAATTGAGGCCCCCGTGTCCTCAATTTCTTTTTCTATTTCAAAAAGGGAAATGTCAGGGGTCTTTTGATTCTACTGGGCCTGTGCTTTCAGAAAATATATGGTTTGGGAGGTCTTTTACAAACGCTAGCAACAATGAAAAAGAAAATCAAAACGATGTGAAAAATAAATACATCTCTTAGAGCGTGCCAGATGGTTATAGTAAACCAGACCCTTACATTCAGGAATTAGTCTGCAAAAAGGCATGGTGAAACAAACAGCTTTTTTCGGAACAGAAAACGGTAGGAATCTGAAACAGTTTGTTAAAATCCTTGCAATTTACATTGATCACACAGAGGGGAGTTGCTTTTCTCTCAAAAGTCGAGTTACACCTAAAAGAGTTTATAGCTGGTGGTATTCTGCATTGCGCTGTATAATGTATTATTGCTGGGATTTGTAGTCCTCTATAGCCAGTGCCATTCTGCATTCATTGCTTTATAATTTTAGACTTTCCATTTCACTATATTGCACACCACACTTTTTTTTTTACTTCCACCGCTCCAAGCTTGCTCCTGTGATGGACCCCCCCCTCCCCCCCGATTAATTGAACGTAATAATTGGCTAACTAATCGATTTTGAAAATAATAGTTAGCTGCAGCCCTACTTGTAATTACTAATTTTTGTATGGTATGCTGCATTGTTTACACCTGTATAATTTAAGTCAAAACATATTCACATATCAGTAACAAATTTTGTTAAATTGTTTTGTTTATTTTAGTAAAATAATTTAAAAAAAAACAACTTTTATTTTACGCAAAATTACACATATCCTGGTAAGCAGGTGCAAACTAAAAACTCCCTGTAGCTACATTATCACAGGCATGCAATAAAAGTGGAGATAATCATAAGACATTTCATCTATAGTGGATAACATTTTTCTACCAGGAATTCGAATGAATTGCTATCAGGAGCAGCAACGATATGTACAAAATATATTTGCCATAATATTTTACAATGATCAGAAAGACATTAATTCCATAATTTTTCTCTACATAAAGCTAGGCACTGTTACCCCATAAGATTGGACAGCAGCATGTCTTTATCGTACATGTACAGACTTTACAAAGCCAAGATGCATTGCCTTTACAAAATATAGAGGTAAAGTATGGATAGGCATCAGAATTCTAGATAATACCCAAGTGCCAACAGAAAGAGGAGCATACAATGTGCAAAAGCACAAAGCTCTTCTTGCAGGCATAGCAAGAGACTGAACTTCTCTTCTACACCGTGGAAAAAGCACTACAAAGCACAGCAAGATCTGCAAACCTGGAGTCCAATAAAAGATTTTTTTAATGCCCGTCTCTTCAGCCAAAACACCTGTAGTATTTCTACTAAAAAGGGCTCTCTAAAAAAAAAACCCCCAAAAAAACCGTGTACTTAAATTTGTAAACATCAAAAAACTCCTAAATAATGTGGTTGAACGTCGCTGCAAGATTCATTGGCAGCAATGTTTGTATGCTACATAATCTAAAAGGAGAACTATGGGGTACACCTTTTTTTACATTTTTAGTTTCCTATTGATACAGGAGTACAATTTGCAATGTACTCATCTAATAAAAAATGCATTATAAGCATACAATTCATTGTAATACACTGTGGGCGGGGCTATGCTTTGCTGCAAAGTGATCCAATATTGTCAGTATCCTCCTCTCCCATTGAGTGACAGCAGCTTGTAGAAGCTGCGGTGCATTCATGAGAATCTGTGCAGGCGCAGCAGCTTAGGGCACATCCTATCAGAGTTTATTCATGTCATGTCCGTCCTTGTCCCCCTCTCTCCTCCACATTGTTGTCTTGGGACATATACAGAAAGAAGAGATGGAGACAGCAGAGTGGAGGAGAGGAGGGCGAAGGTAAACTGACGGTCTTAGTGCCGATGTGGTATGTGTATTGTCTGGAGACAGTAGTGTGGAGAGGGGAAGGGGCGAAGGACAAACTGCAGGATGGATGTGCAAGTGTTCGTAGACCTGTAACCTGACATGAATAAACTTGGATAGGATGTGTCTTGAGCATCTGCACAGGTTCTCATGAACACGCAGCAGCTCCTACAAGCTGCTGCCACTCAATCCCGACATTGTTATCAGTATCGCTGCTCAGCACAAAGCTTAACCCCGCCCACATCATATTACATTGATTTGTAAGCTTATGGTGCATTTTTGTATACAGGAGTACATTGCAAATGTACTCGTGTATCATAAGGAAGCTGAAAGTTGCAAAAAAAGGTGTATCCCATAGTTATCTCTTAATAGAGAAGGCGTCATGTCCAATTCTCACCGGGCTATATGAAACTGACATTGGTAACACATTGCTATGGTCAAATCTACAACAAGAGAAAACTGCTTGTTTATGAGGCATTTCTACTGTTAACAGTAATAACAATTGCAGTTATAAGGCATGTAAAATCAATGTTGACATTTTGACTTTAGTAAGGAATACATATTAATAGTTTGACTTAATTTTCTAAAATATCAAAACAATGTAAATTACCCCCCCCCCATTTGCCAAGATTTTTCCACTTTACTCATGGCTGACACATGTGCTTGTAAGCCCCCCATTCCCAGAAGTGTTAGAAATGCAGCAAAGGTGGGTACAAATGGGTTGGGGTGGGCTTTGAAGTGTATGCAAACCCAGTCACTAAAATGACAAATAAGCTTTAATAGTATTGTAATTTCAAAAGTATTTTGCTTCTGTTTAAAATCTACATTTTTCATTACTATAAAAACACTTTTTTTCTGCCATGGAGCTTAGGCACATCCTGATATAGGTGATGAAGCTCTGTCCCTGTTTAATTGCTCTCCAGTGTTGCCACCCAGGCACATGCATTTCTGGAAAAAATTACAAGCAGCTGCTCAATGCCCAGCCATGTTCCACTGTTATCACCATCAGCAAACCACCCTGAGTAATGACATGCAGTCTTTGCTGGAATGCATGCATGCAGAAAAAAGGGGCTGAAAACGGGCATCAGCAGCACTAAGATGTGACAAAACAAGAAAAATATATTCTAAAAAAAAATTTGCCAACTGTTTACAATACATAGTGATTAAGCACTAAACTAAAAGGTAATCTAATTAGGGTTTAGATCTACTTAAACTACACTGTCATTTTCACCAAACAGGCCATAGTGAAGAAGTCTCCAAGTAGAACATATTCTATACAATGTGAAAGCATTTTCTACCGTGATCGTGAGCGCTTCTTGCTGTTTCCAGGAGTGTATCCGGCACGATATGAACATGTAACTGCCCGGTCATCTTCTCTTCTCCTTTCTGATGACTGAGAAACCTTTCTTGGTGACCTTGAGTGAGATCTAAAAAAAACAAAAATGAGAATAAATGTCCATAACCTTCAGAGCCAGGGGTCAGAAAAAACTGGACATTTGACAGATTTGGCTACAAGTAAATAAATAGGTTTGGTGTCAGCGGGTTCATAGCATCCACAGACATAAACCGATCCAGCTGGTTATGGCCTGATTAGTCAGTGAGACACCAGCCATTCACTTGACAGTAGGTCACATATAAACTGCCCATATTGTATGTTCACCGATATTGTATGTTCACAACTAATCTCTACCCCCCCCTTGATACAGTCAGCACTACTGCTCTCCTTCCTTCATAGGCACTAATGTGTATGCTTGGGTGATGCACATATACAGATTAATGGTGATCTCCATAAAATTATAGATTCATGGCATTCAGGGGTGATATGTGGTATAAAGGACTTCATTTTGTTGCTTACTATGGGAAATCATATTTTATAAAACCTTAACTGCCCTCTGCATTGTACTTCCTATCGGAAATAGGACAGTTCTATGGGATTGGCTTTTGCATTCCAAATATTACATAACACATGTAATGATAGTGTGCAAGGTAGTGTTATTACACAAGAGAAGCAAAATTTTAATAGCATTTGATAGCCTGAAGCCAGGAAGCTGCCATCTAAAGCTAAACAGATACGTATCTATGATTTGCCAAGAAATAAAATAAAAAAAATTGCTGCTGCCATGATGTGACTTCAAGCTGCTGTCTATGGCTAGCTTTGGTGTGGAGCTGCTGCAAAGACAGTAGTGAAAGGCTCAAGTCAAATCCAAGACCCCTCCTCTAATTGAAAAAAAAAAAAAGCCTTGTATTTTTCTCACAGAATGCAAGGCGATTAGAGATTGGAAGATGAGAGATGAGAGATCACGCCGCATCCTGCCCCCCTCTGCTTTTCCTCCATTTACAGGACGCCTTGTAGTCTGTGAGGAAAATAGAAGGCTTTTTGTAAATAGGCAATAAGTAACGAGGGGGTGGGGATGTGACTTGAACCTAGTGCTGCAACTAATGATTATTTTCATAATCGATTAGTTGGCCGATTATTTTTTCGATCAATTAATCTGATTTAAAAAAAAATAACATCCCTTATTTAAGATAAAATACACAAACATAACAATTAGTTTAGAATGAAACTGCATGCATTGCAATCGCACTGCACTGCCTAGAATTGCGGTACTGTGCGTTCCAGTGCAGGCAATCACACTGTGGGTGGGAGGTGCATTTGGGGTCCATTGAAATGAATGGCACTGCAATGCACCTCCAGGGGCAGAATTTGTCAGGCCAAAAACCGAAAGTCTTTTTTCCACCTTTTATAATTTTTTTTTAAATAATTGTATTGTAAGCACATGGCACTTGAATAGCTTTAGCCAGGGAATGACAGCTGCCAGTGGCAATATTCCGCAGATGCAGCTGAATGTAAATACAGAAATACAGCAGGTAGCGGGCTAGTGAAATAGCCAGCCTGCTATTGACCATTTGAAATTGCAATAGCCTATAGTAGGCTGGCTATTGTACCTGCCCGCTGTGCCCTCCTCCCAGCGTGGATGAGAGGGCTAGGGGATCCAACCAATCGATAAGAATAGTTGACAACTATTCTCATAATCAATTATTGATCAATTAGTTGGTTGCAGCCCTCCACACATACAGCTAGTGAGTGATAACGTACAGAGCTAGAACATATTTTAAAATAACATTTTCCTGGAGTTCTGCTTCAATTCTTGAATACTCTTACAATTAATGCAAGTCTTAAGTGCTCATGAGAACAGTCTAACATTGAGTGAGAGATAGGGATGCACCGATACCACTTTTTTACGACCGAGTACCGATACTTTTGATCAAGTACTCGCCGATACCAATTACCGATACTTTCTCTTAAAGGGACAGGTCACATTTTTTCTAAAGCAATACAAACTAATGATTTAAGTTCAGTTTTTTAACATTATGATTCATGAGATGACGAGGGAGCATGGCGCCGCCTTTCCGGCCAATCAGAATGCCGGCGCCCGGCTTCCAGATTTGTTAGCTTCCTGACCAATCGGGAAGCCAGGCAGGGCGTCATTACACGCTACCCGGCTTCCTGATTGGCCGGGAAATCACAAGTGACGAGAGAGCATGGAGCCGTTTCCGGGCCAATCAGGAAACCGGGCAGCGTGTAATGATGCGCAGCCTGGCTTCCTGATACAGGAAGTACTCGTGCTAGGTATCGGAGCATTTGGGCGAGTACGAGTACTCACCCAAATACTGGGTATCGGCACCAATACTGATACTAGTATCGGTGCATCCCTAGTGAGAGACTAAAAAAATAAATAAAATCAAAAATAATAATCACAGCTCTGCAAAACTGGGCAAGCATTTTCCCCCTCAAGACAACCTTTAAGAGGTTTTTCAGCAGTGTTAAAAACCAATGAAAGAAAGGTTGTGAATAGTGTTGAGAAGGAACATATGCCCACACATGTATATTGTATATATACAGGCGTACGCAAGGATGGCAATATGCAGAATAGGGACACAGTCTGAGACACTATGCATTAACATACAAGATATTGAGATATCTAACTCTTTGTTAGGACAGACAGTCCTGAACAACGACTAGTTAACTGATAATGAAACACACACACACACACACACACACACTATGTCAAACATACCTCCCCTGCCCCCTCAAACATTACATAGCAAGGTAGAACGGAGAAGGATTTTTCAGTCCTGGAGTTTTCCAATTAGAGCATTCAAAAAGGTAAAATGTAATTTTAAATTTTTTTTTTTTAGAGTTAAGAACAGGAACATGTAACAAATATAAAGTATCACAATTTGGTTGCAAAAGTGGAAATACATGTTAAAGTCTAAGGTGGTAGCTGTAGTCTCCGAACAAGAGAATAGCCCTCTCTTTGGAACAAAAGGTTCACACTAGTTCAAATATTATACTGTTGAAAAACAGAGATTCCCTCAGGTATCAATTTTCAGTTACATCATTTTAAAAGGCAGGAAGCCAGCAAGAAATTAACTGAATGGTTTAGCCTCTGGACACCAAGATGTAAAATTAATAATTTCAATTTTACATTGAAAAAAAAAAAATCAATATTAGTTTATACAGATGAAAAAAAAAAAAAGTAGGAAAATAGGAAAAAAACGTAAATCACGGTCTAGAGATAAGACAAGAACACAGTGTGAAATCACAATGCTCCGTCCCATGACAACTCTGATCTAATATTCAGCACTAATTCATGTTACATACATATAACCATGTGACAAGTAATGAAGCAGATTTTAGAGCAGCAACAGTAATTAGAGCAGCTTGTTTAATGGCATTAACTCCTTACAGTGTTCTCTTGATTTTTAATGAAAAACCATCACCAATTTGGTTCTGACACACTCTTGGATTAGATGACCGCCTGAATAAGCAGTGTACACTTACTATCTGTGCATACTTGTCATACCGAGCACAGCTCAGAACATCTCATATATCACACTGTAAAGGCCTTAATGCAGTTGGGATAAAGCCTTGATTCTCAACTGGTGGGTCGTGAACCCATGTTCAGTGGGTCGCCACGTGCCTTTCACTTTTCTAGGCTCCTCAGCCTCCCCCTAGCGCAGCACTGTCAGTTCCCACGCCAAGCAGCCATTCCCATGCTGCTCGGTGCCGAGTGTCAGCCTGACGTGGGCTGGGGCTATTGCCGCAAGGGAGCTCTACCCATACATGCATTGCTTACAGCATGTCCTGTAGAGGTACCTAGACCGGAGTGACATCACGTTTCCAGCTCTCGGCACCTCTACAGGGCACAGCAGCCCACACTGGACCCCAGGCTAAGGATCCACTCCAGTTCTCGTAATGTAGGTAGACTGGGTGTCTGTTTTTCAAAGCACGTTCACACTAATACAGTGTGTTAATCGAACAGCCATGTGCGAATAACGCACTGTACCATGCAATCGCACCTACGCGTTTGCCATTTGAATGGCCCCCCAAACACCTTCTGCACACAGTTCAATCACCTGCGCTGGAACACGCAGTACCGCAATGCTGTGCATTCCATTGCAGTGGGACTTGGGTCGTGATTTAAATGACCAAGGACAAATGTGGGTCTTGAGGTTACATAGGTGGAGAACCACTGGGATAAACAATGGATATGAAGAAAGAAAACAGTTTACAGAAGCCTTGTTTAGATCATACCTGGAGCGCCGAACTGTTCTATAGGCGGTGGGAAGAGAATGCTTAACTTTTGAATGGGAACGAGATTTGGAATTATAATGAATCTTTGGAGAATGTGATCTGGAACGGGATCTCTTTTTCCTTTTCTTCTTCTTTTTCTCTCTTTCAACCCGAGAGTATTCTTGAATTGGGGACCTTGCTGTCATAGGATACTCTGTAGTAGGCACAATGATATCTTCTGGTAGAAGGTCATAGTCCATGTTCCCAACCTGCAAATTGAAACAAAAAAAGTTGCAAGGGTTAAGGTTTTTTTTTTTCCCCCCCCCCCCTTCACTTTGTGAAGCAGATTGAAACAATTACTTGAATATGAAGAATTATTTTTTAAACAGATCAGCATTTTGCTACATTTAATCGATAGGCCCTTGTCTGCTGCAAAGCCCTGGTTCTTTGGATTCATTCATGAGGGTATAGCAGAAAATTATAAAACAGATTCAACATAAAGAAGAAAAAGACATCAATAAAAGGCCCAACTAAATGAAACAGATTGCAAGCAGATCTGGACAAAGCCAAATGAAGTCTTTTCTTTGACCACCGTCCACTGCAGCTGCCAGGATGAATAAGACCTAAAATGCTGACACCCATCAGTACAGGCAAATACTGATGCCCTAATTATAGTGCTGTCATTGAATAGCTTGGCTGCCTCCCCAAAGTCAATTTCTACAGTTGGACCATGTAAGAACACATTGTTAAAAAATAAAATATTTAAAAGTTGGACTATGAAATCACTTGACAAATGAAACAATGAAAACAATAACAATAATGTGCTTTAACCTACAACATGGTAAATAGAATATATTGAACTAGCAGTGTATTTACCTGCTTTAACGACACTACTTTAACGTCAGAAAAAATTGCTCAAATTGAGTTAATTTTCCCGAAAGGATTGAGTTTCTTTTTGCCTCATCCATCAGTTCTTTTCAAGCGCGCACACAAAATCAATAGAAGGCAGAATAAGTTTTAGAGGGTTGTTGCGGGTGTTCCTAATTGCTTTGAGTATCAATGGTTCTGATGAGCCAAGTGAGGACACAAAGACTTGACAAACTTCGCATAATGGCTAAAACCGAGCCAATCCTTGTTAGACTGTTATGATGATGCACAATAAAAAGGCAGGGCAAAGCAAACAATAGCTCAAGTGTATGTGAAATCAGGAAAAGTTAAAGAATTGTCTGCTGAACGTAAAGCGACACTAAACTCAGGAGTTCAACCTTAACAATACATTCAAGTACCTTCTCTATTCACAATAATCTATCTTATTTGTGTATCACTCAGCTGTAGATCCTCAAACCATCTCTGAATTGTTGCCAACACTGTCCTTCCTTCTGGAGGGTGACTACTTTTGTTCCCCATGGTCCCTGTGTGGGTTGTAAAGTAGCCACCTTTCCAAGCTCACTCCGTGATGCACTACAAGCTCATGTTTAGTTTACTAATTTGTAGTGAGATTGTAGTCCATCCTGGGAGTGAGCTTGGAGAAGAGACTGCAGCGACTGGTCTAGCAGCCAGGCGGGACTGAGGATCAGGTATTTATTTCTTTATTTTCCTTCCTAGACCAAAATGAGCACTTAACCCTAGCAGTGCAGGAGTAGCCCCACTGAAAGGGTTCATTTGGAAAAACCCCTTGAGTTCTCCTAACCAGCAAAAGCGTACCCGTTTCAGAACAGGGAAGAGCGGGATAAAGGATAAATTGGGGGAAGAGAGACTGGGACTAAGTGAAAAGGGGCTAGTCTGATAGATTAGAGAGAGATCCAGTATTAAATAGAGTAGAATGACCAATAGATAAAAGTGGAGGGAGGAATAAGATGAATGAGTGATAGAGAGGAGGGATACTGTGCAACGTGCAGAGCTGTTGTATTAGAGATAGAATTAGGGGAGAATTATAACCAGCGAAAAGATACAATGTGACATAGCAGCATGAAGTATGAAAAAAAAATCCCAACATGTAGCAGTGGATGAAAGTGGGCTTAAAGAATGAGTGGTGTGGGGCTGAAAAGGGGACTAGACAGACTGTGCTCCTAAGTACTCTTGTGGGCCAACAATACAAATCGTTTTTGTGGACCGAGTGTTTCCAGCCCTCCCAAATGCTTCCACTCTTTGATCTTTACAACATAAAGGCCAATAGTTCAGTAGTCCAGGATAAGGACTAGAAAAGGCTGTTTGAGATAATACAGGAGGTACGCTCAGGAATACTCTGAATTTCTGACAGGATCAACAGGTTTCCCGGCACGTAAACAAAATGCTTCCAATTAATGATTTAACAGCCCGAAAGGGCGCAAATAATAGAAGTTCATAGTAAGGGATTACATAAAGTGGTGTAACCTGTAAACCATGCCGACAGTATGCTACACTGTGTAGAAGAGACACATACTGTGTACAGTGAGGTTATTTTACACTGCACTGCCCTATTAGCTGGTCTTCCATGCCAAGGAAAACAGGTGAAGTGCTGAATTAGTTTTCACAAATAACTGCAGCCAAGTGGTTAAAAAAAGAAATAATCACGGCAGTAAGATGCCGGTCTCCTTACATAAGCAAACGCTACTGCTTATTGTCTTTAGTATGCAACCTTCAATACTCTTGAAAGGTTAAATTTAGCTTATTTTGTATGACAAACTACAATTCTCTGGCAATCATGGCAGACAAATCATTCTGTGATTTGTAACTGTGTCCATTTAATAATCTACATGGCTGACAATTGCTCTGGAAACAACACTAAATATACAGATTGGTTCAACAAACATTTGGCACAGTGAGAAGCAATAAGACATGCCTGACAGCCTAACTGCGAAATAAAACACTGAATGTACAGTGCCAGTCATGTTCTATTACTAGGGAGATTTTGCCTTGATCGTCCAAAGAACAATTGGGTCCACAAACAGATTAATGTCTTGCAGAAAATGGAAAAGTTTAGAATTTTACGAATGCCTTTTAGCCCTCGTTCACACCTGAACGTTTTGTAGCGCGTTCTACGCTCGACGAACGCTCTACAAAACGCTCAAACATCTAAATCCCATTGTATTCAATGGGTCTTGTTCACACCTTGGCGTATTTCAGCCCGTCCCTAACGCGCTACAAAACGGCCTACGCCTGAAAAGGTACATGTACTACTTTGGGCCGTTTTTGTTGCGCGTTTCCATTGGGATACAGCCAAGTAGCCCTCGGAAACGCGCGTTTGTCGCGCAATCTTTTAACCGCGAATCACGGTAAATAAAACGCGCGACAGACGCGCATATGCAATACGCCTAGGTGTGAACCAGGGCTTACTGAACTGCACCGCTACAGCAGCCACAAGTCCCCTCCCAACAAAAATGCCAAAAACCTTAGCAAATGCTGCTTATTTCTTCAACCAAGCCATAAAATCAGAAATCAAAACAGGCATCAGCACTAGGAACTTTGAATAAGCTATAGTTTACATTAGGTGTGTTGTATGTCATTCTTAGCATTCTGTGCAAATGGTTTAAAACATGTTTAAAGTGACACTAAACTCAGGCGTTTAATCTTGAAAATGTATCCTATTTATGTATCACTCGGCTGTAGATCATCAAATCATCTCTGAATTGGTGCTGACACTGTCCTTACTTCTGGAGGGTGGCTACCTTTGTTCCCTATGGTCCCTGTGTGTGTTGCACAGTAGTCACCGCTCCAAGCTCAATCCTGTGATGGACTACAATATCAGTACCAATTAGTAAACTGAACATGAGATTGTAGTTCATCTTGGAATTTAGCGTGGAGTGGTAGCTACTACAGGTGCACCGAAATGTCAGGCCGAAACCGTAAAGGTTTTTTATTTCAACTTTTTCAAGAAATTTAATTTTTTACTTTACTTTTAGGGGCTTCAGGGAAATATTAGGGGTCTAAACAGATCAATACAAAAACACAGAAAATCCACAGCTCACCTGCCAGCTAGCCTGCAACCAAATAGCCCTGTCAACAGTATGCGTTAAAATCAGAGGTTTTAGTTGCACAAACTTTTGGCCAAAAATATGTAGAAGCCACACCGCCGCGCCAAGGCACCTCTGCAAAGTGTGGTCCTAACTCTATGTATAGGAGTCTCACAGTGTGAGCATATTAATGCAGTCGATAAATTGCATGCAGGTGTACCAGAAGGTAGCCAACTCCTCCTAATAAGGTGCAGGGACGCACTGGAGGCACAGCAACCAAAAATGCACGCTGGGACTCCAGTGCGTCCTCTCAACCAAAAATAGTCAAACTAGAAGAAACATGGTACCTGCATGAATCTATAACTAGCCTTAACGGCAGGGTGCACATTGGGAAGGCTTACAATAATACAAAAACACAGAAAATCCCCAGCTCACCTGCCAGCCTGCCTTCCCAATGTGCACCCTGCCGGAAAGGCTAGTTATAGATTTTTTCTTGTCTAAACAGGTCACTGATATTTCCTTTTTAACCCCTTCGTGACGGGAGACGTACAGTGTACGTCTTGTCACTTTGTGCCTATATGACTGGCCACGTACACTGTACGTGACGAGTTATATCAGGCTTTGTAATGCCGGTATTTGCTGATTCTCAGCATTTAACAGTCATTCATTAATGTCTCAGTATTGAGGCATTAATTAATGAAATAATTAAGCTTTTTGTAAAAGCTTCTTCCTTTCATTAATGAAAGAATGAAGCCGTTACATGCAAATAGAGGACCGCAATTTGCGATCCCGTATTTGACAGCTCAAAATAGCAGAGAGGCAGCAGTGACTCACCTCACCTCTCTGCTATTTGTTTTGACAGTTCGAGAGCCCGATGTTTAGATACATTTCACTGAAAGAATACAATGACAAACACTCACTAATCACGGAGTGCTTGTACCTGCTCTCCATCCTGACAGCTGTCACAGGAGGCTGGGTGGGGTGGTGCAGGAGGAGAGCTCAGCCTCCTCCGACAGCAATGGCTGTCTCCGCCCACACCGATGCTCTCCTGGTGCGTGACAGGAGGCCGAGCGGTGCAGGGAGGAAAGACGCCGGCCGCTCACAGCACTCTCCACCCATACCGCTCGGTCTCCTTTGACAGTTTCTCTCCTCCTGAAAAATCACGGATGCACAGCTATTTCGGCCAGAAAATTGCACTTTCGGCATATGTGTTTCGGCGGCCAATATATCGGTGCATCCCTAGTGGCTACTTTACAACACAGTGCATGTTAGTTTACAGCTACATTAGTGCTGTATTTTTCTAATGAAATTGTATTTTCACCGTAGGCGTTTTTAACAGTGACCTCTCATGTTTAAAAGACTTGAAGCCTGCATCATATCATACTTGTCAGTAGATTACAACAGTTTGTTTTCAAACAGTAAAATATCATACAACTATTGTTTACATTGGAAAGCAGCCAAACATCAGCAATTTTAATAGTTTCAAGAAGCACTGTGGCACACATATGAGGCACACACATTCTATGCGTTAAATACAGTATGTAGTATAAGGGCCTGTTCACATGAGTTTCAGGTCCTGATCAGCAGACGTGGTGCTATGTGTTTTGCCGCGTTTTAGCCGCTTTTTTGATGCGTTCCAGTAAAAAAAATAAAATAAAAAAAAACAATTTTATGCTGGAGTGGGTCTGTCAGTATGTTAGCTGCAGCGCAGTGCGTTTTTGCGTTTCCTGACCGTACAAAATGTGACATGCAGTATTTTTCTGTCGTAACCTGAACGGACTGTGCTAGCGAGAACTGTAGCCCATAAAACACATAAGGATACATTGGGATGCATTTTTAGTGCAGGAGCGTACGGATCAGGTCAGCACAGAAAACGGACGTCGTGTGAACAGGCCCTTAGAAGTGACATCGATATGCATAACAAAATTATAGCAAAGTAAAAAAAGCAACATGATTATAAATGGTAATTTTAAATAAGAGAATAAATTGACCTCTTGGCCGTAATTGTTCTCCTCTTGCCTTCCCGATTCCATCTCTAATGGATTCTTCAGTGTTTGCAGAAAAAGTGCTGCCTTCCTTTTACGTTCAGCCTGCAGTTGTTTCTCTTTAGATTCTTTTGCCGCCTGTGCTAATTTCTCTCTGGCTGCTGCTGCCAGTCGGTCCTCCAGTTTCTGCTTTGCTGAAAGAAATAGATATATGTATTTTATTATATAGTACTTGATAAACTGAACAAAGAGAATGGCCACAATTGCAAAACCTCCTTCAAAATGTAAACAGCACAGTACTGTTTTGACAAAAAAAAACCAAAAACATATTTAAGGTTTTTAGATTGTAATCCCTCACAGGCAGGGCCCTCCTTACCATCTTGTCTTGAATTGTATTGTGACTGTAATGTCTTCCTTATATTGTAAAGCGCTGTGCAAACTATTGGCGCTATATAAATCCTGTATAATAATAATGTGCATTTCCACTTTTGCAGACAAATTTGAAAAAACCCCACTAAACGTTTGCATGTTCCCATTCACAAAGCATACTTACAAATTATTTTAAAAATACAAACTAATCTGTACAATTTCAAAGTGACGCTCTGGCTGTCACCAAAGACCCACTGTGGGCTTTCTCTCATTAACATACAATGCTTCTAGATATTTAACTCTGTTAGCACAGACTGTGTTCAAATCCAGTTTACAACTGATAATGAAATCTGCAAGCACAGTACCGACAGGGTTCATAATCGTATTCTCCCCAGCTTGCTTCCATTCTAAAGGAAAATTCAGCTTAGAGAAAACTAGTTGTACGAGAACGTAAGATGTTACCAGCAATTTTTCATTTTCTTTTTAAGTTATGCTACGTGATGGAACATATGAAATGTAAAATAGGTGTTATGCCAATTTGGCTGCAAAAGTAAAAGTATACTTTTTATCAAAATTTCACTTGGCATCCATTATAAAAAACAGTTCATAAAGGATTTGTGATCTGTTCCTTTGTTAAATCAGCTTTGCAATCACACTCACCTTATCGCAACACAAATGCATATGTACATATAAATGCCTGTTGTATCATTTATTGACCCAAAAGAGCAGAATGTATATTCAAAAACTGTAGGCGCATTCTTAAACATATTACAGAATTACCTCAAGTGGCCTCCAAATGGGTTTAAATGTTTCATTGAAGAGCCCAGCTAAGCTATAATTTAGCTAGCACACATTTTTGTAGCGCAGCTTGCAGGTTTACTTCATAATAAATGCCTGCCTTGCCTGCTATGCTCAATAACCTGCTTATACTATACAAGGGTAACTGACATTTTTGAGATACTCCAAACATAGGTAGTGTACGAATTCTTTACTGCGCATGCATTAAAATTCAACATCTTAGAAACATATGCACAGCAGTTTCACTCCGCCAGGACTATTCCAGCAGCCGCAAGACACATTACGAAGTGACGAGTCATGGAGCTGCAACGAGATGATTTTAAAGTTGGCTTGGACGAACACTGTATGCAGAGGTTACACTCTGCATTTGGGGATGAAGCACCATCGAGGGCAACTATCTTCAGATGGTTTAGAGAATTTAGAAGAGGCCGTAGGAATTGAAAGAATCCTGAGCTTCATGGGAGAGAGTCCTGCAATATATGTATGTATAAAAGTGATGTGTGGCTGGTACCACACTTTGAGCAGTTGCCTTTCTGTGAACGTACAAAGTTGATCAAACAGTGAAGACAAACATCAAGAACAGGAATGTTCTGTATTTCACTGGTGATACAACTCCTTTCTGTAAATTCTGATTGGTATGTTGAATACGAGAAGAGAATTTGCTGCAGAAGAAACTTTCATAGCCTTCAATAAAAACGAAAACCTATCTGCGCAGAAAAAGATTAGTCCCAGATGTTTCCGTAATACTTTGAGATGGTTTTGGCACTTGGCTGTCCCATATGTCAACACACATCATCTAGACTACATCAATATTCTCGTTAAAATTACAACCATAGATAAAAGACAGGGGAAAAATCTGCAAAAAATGTATTGGAGGTTGTAGTCCACGTGGGTTTCCAACCCCTTAAATGTGTCATTTTATGTGTCCGAAATCTGACTATTCCAATTGATATTTAGATGACACATAGACCTCCAACATCTGAATTCAATTAGTCCCAGTTCATGATAAAGCACAAAAAGGTGAGAGGATCAGTCTGGCCATTCAGCCAATTGAAACTGAGGCAGGTAAAAAACACAATTTTCATTTTAGCTGCTTTGTCTAAATTTAACAAAACAAATCTTGGCTGTGCATTTGAGACAAAACACCACATTTGCATACAAATAAACCTTCTCAAACATTTGGGACAACAAGCCCTGACATGCTACATGTTAATTTGAATTTGACATTCAGACATTGCCACTTCACCAAACAGAATGCAGAATTGATTGGGCTTGTAAAGACAAATGCAAAATAATATACTATAAACTGCTACACAGCAAACCGTAGAAACTTTCATTTTATTAATTTAGGATATTATGGTCGCAATCAAACTGACATGTGCATTTAAAAGTAATTTCTATTAGTATTCCCACTGGGCGTTTAGCTGCATTTAAAGAAAAGAGAATTCTGTCAATCCAGGATCCAATCAGAAACTATAAATGCACGTAAAACGCGGCTAAACCAACAAAAAGGCAAGTATTTTGAAACACAGAAGAAACTGATTTTAGAACCATAAAGTTTGTTTCTTATTTTCCAATCATTTCTCTTGCATGTAAATAACCTAATCACAGGAGTGCTAGTGTGAATGTCAGACTCATTCACCTTACCAACCGCTCAGTGTCTGCATCCCCCCTCTGCCAATCCCTACACTGGCTTCCACTCGCCCAGAGGAAAAAATAAAAAATATTAACAGTCACTTATAAAGCCATCCACAACTCCGCCCCCGGATATATCTCAGACCTTGTCTCAAAGTATCACCCTAACCGTCCGCTCATCCATTGACCACCTGCTTTCCAGCTCCCTTGTCCACTCCTCCCATACTCGCCTCCAGGACTTCTCTAGAGTCTCTCCCATCCTCTGGAACTCTTTACCCCAACCTGTCCATCTATCTCCCACCTTGACTGCCTTTAGGCGTTCCCTAAAGACTCATCTCTTCAAGGAAGCCTATCCCACCTCGACCTAACCACTGTACCTTCACATTCTCAAATAATTCATCC